TTTCCAAATTAAATAACGATTTTTTTAAAATATTTAATATGTATAAAGGTCCAAAATAATCACTTTTTAAGTAAAAACAATTGTTTATTTAAAAAATACAACAATAAATATTGAAAAAAATTCACTTTTTTTCTGCAACACCAAATAAATTGGTTTAAAGATCAAAATTTTCCTTATTTTTCAAGCTTTAATACCGCACAAGAAAAATAATGTATTTCAAAATAGTTAACTCACAATTTGTTAAACAATGTTTGTCTTCTTTTTTGTATTTTATTTATTGTGAAACGTCTGCTATAGTTGCGCGCGACGTTCGGAAGTTGTCGCTCTCGTGTGCATCACTATTCCTTTTTTATAATTGATTAAAATTGTCGAAAAAAATATTACTGGCACTCTTCTTTACGTTAATTTATATTATTTTATATTTAATATTTAACCTTTTTAAATGGTAATATATAAGTAAACTGGCGCACGATCGATCTCGCATGTAAAATAATAAAAACAATAATAATTCTTGAATTCCATATAACTATTATTTAAATATAATTCTAATGATTAACACAAACAAAATTTAATAAGATACGCAAAATTTTAAATATTATGAAACAATTTTTAATGTTAATTAGTTGTAAAAATCGTTAAAAAAGCAGTGCAACACCGAATTTACAACCGCAACTTAACGACTAAATAACTATGGTCATTAAAAGCCGAAAGATGATATGTGGGAAAATCACAGCAATACGACTGTTTAAAGAGGGGGAATTTAAATCACCGTGACACACATTAATAGTAAAGGAAGCGTGGGAGCTGGTTTATTGTACTTATAAATAAGGTGACTCCCCCCCTTTTCTTTGAGAAGTTAACGCGTTCACAGTAAACTAAAAGGTATTAAAAAACCAGATTAAAGTAATATTGAAAAGGATTAAAATAATCCACTTTTTACGATTAAATTTATATATGAATATTTCAATTATTTTTCACCCTAGCCTGAATCAAAGACCAAAAAAGATAGTATAATTATAATTGCTTAACGGAACTAAAAAACTTGTGCATCTAGAAATCATTTGAACACCTGGAAATGGATATGTGGAATTTTGTAATTTTAATCTTTCGATGGATTATTCACGGAGAAAAAACGAATTTTCAGAAATAGTACTGAACACTAAACATTTTAAGGCGAATAGTTTATTTTTAGAATTCTATATTAAAAATTAAATATTGATAAGATTTTGTATCGAGTCCTAAAAGTCTACCAATATTGGTTTACTTACTGGCATCATTTTCAAATTTTCCATAACAGACATCGTCGTTAAAAATGCACTTATTTCAATCAAGAACTAAGAGATAGAAAAATAGATAATAGACACTCTCTAAATTTGAATCAGTGAAAAAGTCACTGGTCTCAAATCAGTCGCTAAATTCTAGCTATTTGAATCAGTAACATTACACCTATTTTCAGTGAAAGTACTTGATTCTCCAGTGAAATGTCACTAACTGTCAGTGAAAACCACTGATTCAAATAGCTAGAATTTAGCGACTGATTTGAGACCAGTGACTTTTTCACTTATTCATATTTAGAGAGCACTGATTCTAAAGAGCTTTGAAAAAAAATTCCATTGAACTTAAAGCGAATTAGAAAAGAAAAATATTGAATACTAACTTTACACACTAATTTAAAAATATCAAATTGATATAAAAATTTGTATCAATTTGATATTTTTGGTATCAATTTGATACTCTCAAATTTGTGTGTAATCAATGTTGAATTAGAATTAGAAGGGAAATAAATAGTTTTCTTTCTTCCGCGACATGTCAATAAACAATTGAAATAAAATGATACGAATCTGTTGACCTGTTACAGAAGCCTTGAGACACACAGCAATAGGTTGATAAACAATATTATGGTGGTTAATGGAGGTAGTCGTCATCAACGTTGTCGACGGCGATTAATCGCTAATCTAAATTGCAGGGGAGAATAGTATATGGGTGTAAATGGCTGCAAGTCCTATAGACAGTAATGTAGGTACCAGGACCTTAGGAAGGAAAAAAATATATATAGAAAAGAAAAAAAGTCCAAGTCGTAGGTCAACAGCACGCCTTACGATATAAATCAGTGACACGTTGTGCAACTGTTGATTTATCGTCGTCAAGACGCGCTGCTCGGATATCTTAACACATATACAAAAAAATGACTTTTATATACACGACTTTATTCATAATGTAATATGTGCCAACGCGATAGTACAACATAAATACCAAACTATATATATATATATATACATATATATGATCAAGTCAGAGCAGAAGAAGAATCCGGTTATGTGAGTGTGCATCATATACGCAGAGAGATGTAGGGAGAGCGGAAGTAATGGAAATTTCAAAATGGCCTTCTCGATCGACCCGAAGATAATTTTACAATTTCCCTGAGCAGATGGTGCGATAAAAGTGTAAATACACTGATGACTTCAAGTTCAGAATAGGTGCGTATATAGCCTCCTTCTCTTATGAAAGGAGGCTGCGGCTCGAACACAATAATGTACTAAATTCTGAACACGAAGTCTATTTGTGGAGAAAAGGAAGCGTGTTTTCAAACGATATTAACAAAAAGTTTAGGTCAATCCTTCAATTTAGAAATTCATTTTCAAGTCCAACAAAAATGTGTCGGGTAATGGTCCACGTTTTATATATATTTTATTATTGGCTCATTTTGAACTGAAACAAAAATGAGATCACGTTTTTCCTGTGGTATATAAAAGAAGAACCCGAAGCGAAATTTAAGGCCTACTTTTCTAGAAGTAAAGTAGGATTAATCAGACCCCCTTTAGCTGTCTGGAATGTGCGCAAATTTCATTTTTTTCACTTTTGGATTCAAAGTAGGGCCTAAAAATTGATTACAATATTGAAAATTTTTAAATTGCTCTAATTCTACTCATTTTTTTAAAACGCTTCAAAATATATTAATTCCAGTTTTTAAAGGGTAATTAAAGAGAGATTATGTGAAAATAAATTTCATTTTGCTTTAATCAAAATAATTTTTAAAAAAATGTTTTTTGTATTTTTTTAATCGAACTATAGTTGGATTCAAAGAAGCACACATAGAAAAAATTTGATGTAGCAGCGAACTTGAGGGAGTCTAAAAGATCCAATAATAACATGTTTTCCTGTCATCTATCCCTTTAACAATTAATACTTAAAAGTTAATAAAATTCAAATAAAAAATGTAATATTTTCTAATAATATAACCCTATGCAGAAATATTGAATAGGCTCTGGCAGGGCCCACGTTAGGAAGTCCCAAATCCACATGAAACAGGGAACCCGATCAGGGCCACAGAAGAAAGCCCTTTTTCAACCTCGTTTCAACCCGATTAAAATCGATTAAAAACGGGGTCCGACCTGGATCTGGTTTGTCCTGGGCGGGTTCCCTGTTTCAAACCGGTCAGGGCCAGGTCATTTTGACTTTCACATCGACATTGACTTTCATAATGACTTTCACATTCACTTTGATTTTTATTTTGACTTTGATTTTCATTTTCACTTTTATATAATTTTTAATTGAATTTTAGTGAAAGTGTAAGTGAAAATCAAAGTCAAAATAAAAGTCAAAGTGAATGTCATCGTGAAACTCAGAATGAAATTACATAATTGCACCCCAGGAAAAATATAGATAGTTTACAATGTGTTACATACAAAATTGATTTGGTTCCATTGAATTGAATAGATGCTTTGAAAAAGATTGATTGAGAATTCGTGAATGTAAGTGTGTATGTAAAAATATATAATGTCGTTCTATATATATATATACATTGTATATATGATAAATAAACACGTTTTAATATACTGAGTGGCAGTGTGTGTAGTTCATGTTTCTTCGCGTTATTTCACAAGCACGTTAGGCATTACCGGTCTACGATATCTCGATAAATCGATATACAACATGCCAATCTAGCCTCGAAAAATAGACGCGTTGAGGAAACAAAGGCTTTCAGTGCAAAAGAAAAAGGCAAAAAAAATCTGAAAAATTACCTTCATCGTGACAACTTTGCTCTTTTATCAGCGAAACATATTGTTTATTCTTTACTCAAGTTTTTGTTTATATCACGAAATACTTTGATCACGTGACACTTTTTTCCGTGTCAGATATATGTACATACATTATATATATATATAAATATATATGTATATTCGTCAGGATATGTTAACATGTTTCAATATTTGGATTGATGTTTAAATTATTGTCGTGTTTAATTAAAAAAATTGTCACAAATACAATTATGATATTATTTATACAATAATTTAAATTTTTCATAGAAGAAAGTTATTATTATTTTCGTACTAATAATGTATCTCCTGAATATTTCATGTGACAATAATTAACGGTTCGTTATATAGACCAATCCTTCATTTGTCTTGACATAATATTTTAATACATGCTCTTGTGGGGTGATTTTAAAGACACAAGAGATATGTTGAATGCAAAAGCACAACGGGAGCGTGAACGCATTCGTTTGGCAGTAAATATGTAATTTATATCTCTGCCATTGTTGTTGTATGTCTGCGGCTATATCGCGAGTCGCGAACGACAGGGGTCTTGATAGTTTAATGTGTATAACAGTCGCTGGCAAAAAGTACAAAACAATGTCTGATTATTAGTAAAACTGCATTTTTTATATTAAAATTAAAATTTTTTTCACAATTTTTTTTGTCCCTCCTATTCGGAAAGTGTGTATTTCGTGCATTATGATAAATGTATTACAAACAGAAATTTTTTGCAGATGATTCTATAATTGAATTCAAGTAGACGACTGTTACATATAGGTTTATGTATAAAATATTCAAATTTAAGTACATTTTTTCTGTTTGCTCTTTCTTTTCGCAAAAGGAGGCCATCTTTGTATTATCCGCGGAAAAGATTCCCCGGGCCATCGTGAGTCACTTTAAGAAGTTATCTAACTCTACGTTGTGCAACGCAGATATTATATATTTGTATATATATATACACACCTTCTAACCATGTGTGAAACGTGAATGCCAGACATCGTTCTCCGCGTTTCCAAGATGTGCAATCAATTCTGTAAAAAAAAAATAAAATGCGATTTTTTTAAAACAAAAATAAAAATTAAATAAACGTCATATAATATATAACGCCTCGCTGCTGAAATATTCCCATTTTGTACAATCTAGGATCCACAATTCTTATATCTAAAACAAATAAAAATTTTTTTCTTCAATCGTACATTATTGCCTTTGGTATGTTAAACGCAAAAAGCATCGTAAATATTAATAAGATACTTTACAAAATATCTTTATTTAAAATGGAAGATACCATTTATCCATATTCCATCTTATTTTAAGATACTAAAAAAGCCACTATTTTTATTTTCGTAGGTTGTTTTTTCTTTAATTTGATAATTCATAATTCTTTGAACTTTTTTTATATTATATATAAAAAAGTTTTAGAAGGGTATAGACTTAGTTGGGTCTCGGAATATTAGAGGAGAGGAATCCCGATTTTTTTCAAACAATATCAACTCTCTCAGATGGAACTTGGTTGAAGATTGGACATGGCTTAAAGACGAAGAACGAGCGGAACTGAGGTTCGTGGAGCTTCCTTTCCTTTTGGACATGCCTCGGTGCCTCTTCCCACAGAGCCTAACTGGAAGTTACATGTATATTACTAGTTTGAGTGTGTTTGTGTGTACACATGAGTTGGCACTGTGTGCGCGCCTTCGCTACTACTCCAACAATGGCGATACGCGATATCGCTCGGGTTAAACTATTAGGAACGTCCCTGATGGTGTGTGCTTGCCTTCGAAGGAACTGCACGGACGCACCTACTTCCGGGAGACTCCTGTCATCGTTTGTCGCCCCCGTCGATCTCCCGCGCGTCCGCTCCCACCTGCGATTCTACTCCACTTACATGTATGTAAACGTAAACACTACCCACGTAATCGTCGTCGTTCCTTTCCACCACCACCCATCGCCCTTCCTTGTGTCCATGAGAGGTCGGGTTATGGCCGATTTTCATGGGAACGATTTCTTTTTACCTCTTCACCAATTTGTGCGATAGCTTCTTTAGGTCCGGCTATATGTATACTGAGGATGATTTAGGAAATCCGGTCCGGTTCTTAGAACTGTTGAGACCAATATTTTTAGTCTTGCTGCATGTTTAAAAGAAAATTGTCTTTGTCCATAGGAGAAAAAATGTAGGAAGTACGAAATAGGATATAGAAAACAGTTAAATCGACCTATTTGAAAATTATTCTTAAAAATGAGCAAATTTCGGAATACATATTTTCTGAGAGCGATTAGCCTGATTTTCTCATTTCAGTGGTTGACGACGACGATAACGACGGAAACGACCTCAAAGAGGAGGATTCGGAAAGCATCAGTGTGTAGCGAAGCAGCAATGTGCTCGAGCGAGCATGATACCTTGGCGAGCGAATCGTTCGTTCGCGACACGCTCGAGCCCTCGATTCCGCCGGAATCACGACTCGTCACGGGAAACTGTGCGTAAGTACCTATGGGAAAGACTTACTCAACTTGCCCAAGAATCAGATACCTTATCGTGATCATCATTATACATTAAAAAAAGAAAAAAAAAAATGTATTGAATACCTATACGAATATTTCAAACCTTTTTTTCCATGCTCATATTATACAATAATATAATAATTGAAACTTTATGTAGAAAAAATATGCATATAGGTATACAAATTCTCATTTTAAAACTTACATATTGTAAAAATGTTAGAACAAATTCTGAAGAAATTAATTAACTGTTGCATTTTAAAATGACATCACATTTTTTAAATTATGTAACAATATTTAATATATATATATATATATATATCCTTCTGTGTATATACAATATAAACAGAGGCATAAATTATTCTCAACAAACATTGGATATAAAGTTCTAATATAATGAAATGAATATCCAACTAAGAAAACAGCAAGTCCATATTTCATATCGGGCTAAACAGTTACAAAGTAGGAAGTACAAAATAATAAAAGCCCATAGTTGTTATTATAATATTGCAATATAATGAGAGAGCGCATTTTTGTTCATCAAGGAAAACGTACTATATATATACATATAAATTGTTATAAAATATTAAAAGAATTTGACCTCGTTGCGCTTTTGACTCTCCTTTGTATAAGATGTTTTTTATTGTTTAATATCAGCTTTTGATCGTAATATGAGATCTGACTAATGATCAATATATATATATTGAAAGTTGAGTGTGGTAATTAGACGCATAGACGCCTCCATGGTGTTTCGTAAATCACGCATGGCACAAGTATTTTTCCATGGAATTCCGATATTTTATTGGACTCGATAAATATGAACCCATTAGCGAACAATTTGTGCTCAAGAGCGTAACAAAATTTATTATACGTGCTCAACGTGATGCTTATTGCACCAAAGAGAATTTCTCAAAGTGTAATTGGACAAAGGGGTATGTGTATATATATGAGTTACGTAAACTATTGCACTATATAAATTTAATTTTTCACACTATATGTATACGTACCCAAAGAAAAAAATATATTTGTCTACACGGAAAGAAATTTTCTGTAGAATTTACAGAAACTCCTGCGCCATCTACTGATGTTTCTCCAAATAGAGAAATTTGTAGAATCATTGGCATTAAAATCTGTTAATTCTACAAGTTTGAGCTACAGTTCTTAAAAACTGTTGAGTGACCAAATTATGTATATACTATATGGGGATAATATATATTTGGTAGAGTATTTCTTATAGGTTATATTCTCCTCCGAATACATTAAATTCGCGGAACATTATTGTATAAATTAGTATAACTTCTATGTAAATAAATTCATCCTTCAATAATTTTCTAACAAAAAAAATGAGGAGCAAGTTTTCAAAACTTATGATAAATCCACTTTTTCTTATCACAGAAAATTAAAAGGCATTAAAATAAGCTGCAACGCTTCTTATTTTAATCCAATTTTGCTTATTTTAATCCATTTTGGTATTAAAATAAGCAAAATTGGATTAAAATAATGAGCGTTGCAGGTTATTTTAATACCTTATAATTTTCTGTGATGTCGAGAAATTGAAACAAACGACTTTTCTCACTTAATCACTACAGTTAATTTTAAAATAAAAAATTTGTAATAATTTATTTCTATAATAATGTTTATATACTTAAGACGTTTCCTTTTTAATTAAACTTTCTTGCCGACACTATGATAATAATAAAAACACTAAATTCGCCTTAACCTCTCGCACTCAATCGTACTCAGCCTTAGTCGAATCACTGCATTGTTTTCGCGCATGCGTTAAATCCTTACAGAAAATATCTGTAGAATTAACAGATTTAGGAACATGTAAAATCTCCAAATCGATGTTAAAGAATTACCAGAAAATTTTTTTCCGTGTAAGATAAAAATAAACATTCGCACTTGGGTTTATTTGTTTTAAACCAATATATTTATGTGTTTCAAATAAATATATTTAACTCTGAGACAAATATTTTTTTTAACTTAGATATGTTATATTTGATACGAATAAAAAACTTTGCTATAGTGTCTAATCGTGAACCAAATTTTATCTTTTCTCAAGTCAAAACATGTAAAAATTAAAGAGGGAGGCAACTTTATTTGTGAGAGGGAATAATTTACTTTACTGCACTGTAAAAAATTTCGGAATCATTTCCATTAAAATAATCGGCAATATTTCCAAAAGTGGAAGGAAAATGATTATTCCTAACACTTTGATGGAAATAATTCCGAAATAGGAATATTTTCCAAAAAGTTGGAATTTCTTCCAGTAAGTTAGAATTTTTTCCTGAAATTGGGAGAGTTTTACGATTTTAATGGATTTTTATCCAAATCTTAGAAAATAAATCCAATGTGAGATAGAAATATGTCTGAAACTGGAATTTTTTCCAAACATTAGGAGAAATTTCCGAGTTCAATAGATTTTTATCCTAATGATAGGAAATAAAATCTGTTTGAAATATTACAAAAGTTTTTATATAAGTTTTCTACTCTTTCCTCCTCGTATTCCCTGAAGTGACTTTAGAAAAAAACAGTAACATTTCTCAATCTTCTTCAAAATCATTCTTTAATTGAATTTCTTCTTTATTTGGAAACTATTTACAAAAAAGCTTCATATCTGTTGTCGAATTACACTGATTAACATGATCGTAATTTATTGTATAATTAACATTATTATAAATTTATACATTATAATTATTATCAGCTATATAACCTCCACTTAACAATTAAAAACTACATATTAATTGTATTGACATCGATTGTTGTATAATTTATGAAGATAGTGATGACTATCGATAGTATATATCCACGATAAATAAAAATATTGATCTATCATTCTATAGTCCATTTTTAAACACTTTTTGCCGAATTACTTATGGTTATAAACAAAATTTAACTCTCTTAACAACAATGATTTTTTTTTGTTTTTGACAAATATATTTGTTTTAACAATTAGTACACAGAAAATTAAAAGGCATTAAAATAAGCTGCAACGCTTATTATTTTAATCCAATTTTGCTTATTTTAATCCATTTTGGTATTAAAATAAGCAAAATTGGATCAAAATAATAAGCGTTGCAGCTTATTTTAATGCCTTTTAATTTTCTGTGTAACTGTTGTTTATTTTTTTAGTCAGTTATGTAATTTGACAAAAAAATAGGTTTGTTAATTTTTGCATTTCTATGTACAGAGAGTCAAACTAGAATCAACGGAAGAAAATCATGAGGAAATTACCTAAAAATCGCTCCAACTGTGGAATGGAATTAGGTTACCCCCGCTAACCACGATTTACTTGCGACTATTACCGTAATCCATTATATAAGACACGCGTACAAAACCGAGTGTAAAACGCTTTCAAAGTAGCACAAGAAAGGGACACTTTCTCCTCTACAGTTTCGCTCGAAAAATCGAGGTACCCTTTGTGAAAATTTCAATTTCTACAAATATATAGGTCAACTTTCATAAATAAGATGGTTTATTATTCAACAAATAAAACGTAGATTTGCATATTACAATTTTATAAATAATTATTTTATGTGAA